AATGAGCTCAGGGATGGAAAAATGAACAAGACCTTGGAGAGAAATTGAGAGCAGGCTGGAGAGTGAGACAGAATGCAAATGCTTCGTTGCCTGGATGGCCAAGGGCATTTACTTGCAAGGGGAAGGCCAAAAAACAGACATTATGCACATCTATTCCTCACTCATCTCTTCAGTCATCACTCTTTTCCCCTCCATTTTTTACCTCTTCATTTCCATCTTGTTCATCGCACCCCTCCATTACTCTCTCTAGGTCTTTTCCTGCTGTTGAATCTCCACGATGACGGCACATAAAACACCTTGGAACAGAAGCTTCCCGAGTGCTCATTAACGCCTCGTTAGCATCGAAAAAAAGATCATTTGAAGAAGAGAGTGGGTCCTGGATGGGTGGAGGAGCCAAACATGCGAGATTAAAATATCTTTTCTTACCAAAGTGTCTTTTTACCGCGCCGTCAGAAATCACTAAAGATTTGAACCCGTTTGTCTCCATCTTCCCCAGGCATTTGAGAAAGCTTGAGCCACTTTTTCTGGATGCTTTCATAGACAAAATAACAAATTCCTCTTTCTTCCTGTGGTGTCAAACAACAAGCGGTTTGAAACAGGTGGCTCTCTCTTTTTTTTCTTCATAACCCCAAACCCTCAAAGGCTTTTCTTCAGCCTAACAAAACCAGTCCTACATTTATCTCTCTTCCCTGAAGGGCTGCCCTCACAGCAACAGCTACTACTGTTGAGTGATTGCCATCTGCCCCTGATCTTTTTTTTTTTACCTGACAAGCCTCCCATGTGGACAAAACAAAAAAGGTCAATGTTAAATATCGCACAAGTAGAAGGAAAGAGACAAGGCATACCTGAGGTTTTTACATGCTGATCTACTTCAAATGTTTAAGCGTCCAGTAGTTTCCATTGACCTCCGTTAATTGACATCATCCAACATCTATGTAATATTGACAAAAAAGAACACAGACGTGATCTACATGGGATTAACTGCACAACTCAGGCAAGTTTCAAGGCTCATCTTATTGATTTTCATAGCACACCTAAATGAATGGAAATCAATAGGTGCTTTGAACAAAAAAGACAAAAAATGCAACAAAAACAAAACACATTTTCTGTACAGCATGCCCTCAAAAATAGTAAAATAGATGCTTTGACAGAAAAGGGAAAAATGTATGAAAAAAATATTGGACACAAACTCTGAAATGGTCCTTTAAGTGATGTCCAGATAGAAGGGGAAAAAAAGACTGTTTATATTCCCTATTCTACAACCTGTCGCCTTCTCTTACCTACTTTATCTACAACTACTGTATGGAGCTGTAACATTTAGTCTATCTTAGGAGAGAGCGATTTGTCCCACAGCCAGAGGCAGAAATTGGTAAACCTATTCTAGTGTGTGCCTGCATTTTGCTGTTGACACTGCCCCTCGAACACACATACACAAAACACGTCCCCCAAGGTATTTGACCCGTTTTGCCCTCTAGCAAAAGAAAAATTGTCTGCCCTGCATCTCAGCACTCCCCTGAGCAGCAACTGAAGTCCAGCAGTGTACATTTCATTACTAACCCTTCTACCTGAATCCATTTTAGTAGCCGGACATTGTCTACTCCTGTGAATTTGTTTTAATGAGTGTTCCATCCTGAGCTTACTTACACAAGAGGTCTACCCTTAAATATTCAGTGACAAATAAATAAAGACAGGCAATATTAACAAGCACAAACAAAGTCTCGTTTAATCTGTCAGTCTTTGGCCTTTTATGTCTGGAATTGTTTAAAATGAATCAATTCTCTCTCCCCCTTTGTGCTCCTTCTTTATCAGTGTGTACTTCATGGTCTTTTTCTAATGGCCCATTGTGGCATTAGGTCCCGCTTAAAGAGCCATTAATTCTACACACAACCCCTTCCTGTTTTGGATGTGTCAACAGTGTTTCAGTAAAATAGTCTCAGTAGTATGCAGGAGCTGAATGTTTTCCCTCCACCAGCAGCTCACCAGGGTGAGGTCCTTGAAGTCCGTTTTAAGGAAATTGGGCTTGACAGCAACATCAGTTTGTTTCGCTTTTTGTGTTTCCCCCTTTGTTGTTGTTGTTCCTTTTGATTCTGCACTGGAATTATGCAAAACAGGTTTATGAAGTGTTATTAACCTTTTTTTTTTTTTGTTACTGTTTTTCCCTTCAGGCAGTACTACGAGATGCTGTACAACACTGCAGACGAGCTGCTGAATCTGGTGGTGGACCAGGGTGTCCGCTACACCGAGCTGGAGTACATCAACGCCCTGTCTTTGCTCCACCGCAGCCAGACAGGCGTGGGCGACCTGAGCACCCAAAACATTCGGCTGCAGAGGCTGAAGGAGATCATCTGTGAGCAGGCGGCCATCAAACAGGCCACCAAGGACAAGAAGATCACTACAGTCTAATAATAAAACAAGGCAAGGAAACCAGGAAGATGTTATTAGAACAAGAAAATAAAGGTGTATTTCCAAATAAGCGCATCTTTGATCCATTTAAAATGTTCTTCAGATCTCTCTAGTGGGAACAAATAAAGCAAAAAAAAAAAACAGTTTTATGCAAAAGTAAGACATTACGAAGAAATTGGAAGAGATGTTTAAGAATTGGGTTAGAAGACACTGAAATAGTGACTTGCTAGACCTAGATTTGAATGTGTGTGATGGATGTGTCTTCTCCATTTCATCCTGCCTGATGTGATGAATCACATTGCAGTTAAGGGACATAGATGTACTTTATTCCAACTCTGGGCATGTAGATCACATAAATATGTATATAAGCCCAAGCTGCTCTGACTCACCCTAATTGGGAAGCGAGGTGACAACTTACACAATTGCAAACTCTGCTAGTCTAGTCCCCTATCAATCCATGTCATAAAGTCACCCATAACTTTAATTTTCACTCGTTTAAAGACACACAAATGGTGCATTCAAGCGACTCCAACAACCCCTCACTCCCCACGACTCCAGCTTACAGATAAAAGACAATTGTTGTGGACACTCAACCAAACTTAGGCCCCATCTCATCTCATTTTCTTATTAAATCTAAACTGCTGCTCTCAATTACACCTCTATCTCCCCTCTCCTGGCAGCCCCATGGGCCCACTGATTCTGTCTGCAATAACAGATGCCAGATTAGACTGTCTGAATGAGGCCACATCTCCCGCCTGCTGCCAATTTGGGTTGGTCCCTAAAGATTTCCCTCACCGAGAATTGTATCATATCTATGCCCGTTAAAAATCTGTTTATCTGTCTTTTTCTCTCTTTTAGCTGCTGCTGTAAAGTTGCACAGAGAGTGCGGAAAGTTGGAGGTTGTTTTATACAAATTTGACAAATATGCCTCAGTTATGATAAATATGTTTCGCTGATTTCAACCACATTCTTAGTTTTAGCTGCTATATTTCAACTCCACCCCAAAATGCTGAATGTCTTGCGCCTTTTTTTGTGTGAAGAAAATGTGTACGGGAATACATAAAATCCGTCATTCTTGCTCTATAAACTAAAATGATTCAATTTGAAATCTTTATTCTGCCAACTACATGGGCTCAATTCTTTGAAAGTAAACTAAATATAACTCAAGAGACGATCACAAATCATTACCCTCCCTCTTTTTAGTTCATTAACTTGGAAGAGAAGTACTTAACAAGAGGAGGAGAGGGGGAATGGGAGCCTTGTCAATATAGCGGGCTCGCCGCTGGTCTCCCCGAAGCCCACAGAGCAATCCATCATAATGACACATCTGCTGGGATCGATGAGAAAACAACCAAGGAGCTGCTGAGGGGTTTGCCTAACACTCTGAAACGAACACTTGGTGTAAAATCTCAAATCTGCTCTTTCAGCTGTTCACTTCAAAGCTACTTGTAATGTTATACATGGGAAACTTTAATACAATGCTAACCGTCCGTTTAATGTCTCGCACAGGAACTTTAGCTTTATAATGACACTGCTAACAGAAACCCCCATGTGAAGAAAACTCAAGTATCGGACAGTACACTCCTTACAGTATATGTAAACACAACCCAATCCTGTCCATGCTTCTTATTCAAGAATGAGATATGTAAAATGTAGTTAAGATTATTTTGTTTTTACTTTGCGGCAAAACACAGAAAACCTTTTTTTTTTATTTCTTTGTTTTTCTTTTCAGTGGAACTTTATTTTCCACTCTTCCTCATTTCCAGTAATTTCCATGTTTCAAGTAAGAATGTATTTAAGTCATCAGAGGGGGGTTAGTCATGAGCAAGTTAAAACATCCTCCTTGTCTTCTGGCTGTTGAGTGCCACTTCTGAGATGTTTGTCTACTCTGAATTAAACACACATGATTTGTCAACGCATACTTATGCAATGAAATAATAAATCCTTCAAACATTTCTTTTTGTTTTGTGTATTTTGTACTGTGTTATTCCTTGTGTGGTTGCATAACAATTCATTTTTTTTCCATCGGGAGAAAGTGCAAGCAGTGACACTTCTATTGCAAATCACAGGCCAGTCTGTCACTGTTTTGATGCAATGGAGAACCTTACATGGGATCCAAAACCAACACTAGGATTTACTTCACCTGACAGGTGAGATGTGGTTTGAAGCATGAAGTGCTACATCTGAATAGTAAACACAGACAACATATCGCCTTAAAGCTCTGCTGTTGTTGGCATAATTCCATGTCTGTTTCGACTCTTTGAGGCACATTGTGTTTTTTTGTGTTTACTGTGATGGACACCTGATTTCAGAATACAATTTAGCTAAATCCCTTAAATGTGTCTTTACATTGGATTTTGGTTGCTCCTTTATTGTCTCACTCTCCAAAGGAAAGGCTTTTCGTGTAGCTATACTAGAATTTGGATCAGCTTTGCTTCCCCCCCTTTTCCCGTTAACACCTGTGGATACTGTCAATCAATGGATGCGACAGTTAGTTTGGGGTGAGAGTACACTACATTTCCCATAATCCGTTTCACCTCTCACTTGTCACGGCCCGGCGTTGCTTAGCGACGACTGTGTTCCCTTCTCCTGTCAAGATAACTTCGCCCTGTAGCTTGAACTCGGATATGCTGACTTATTAACACAAATTCCCCTATTTTTAATCACTCTTTGGTCGGTCTGTGGTCTCGCATTTGCAAGTTTTCACTATGAAATAATGAAACAAAACGACGAGGGAACAGTTTTTCACACCGTCGCCAAGCCGCAGCCCCCCCGGGGTTCCTCAATGACGCTGCCTCTGTTGAGGCTCCAATTTGTGAAGAAGCAAACAGCGGGATGGAGGTAAGGTGTAGCACACTCTATCTACATAAAACTGTTTAAGCTGCAATTTATTTTTAAACTAACCTTTTCGTTTAGTGTCAATGTTGTTTCATTATAGAACTTCTATGCAACAGGTAAAGCAGATAACTTTGCACCAGAGGTCTTTGGAAATAAAACAACACAGCAAGGTCAAATAGTTGATTTGTTCCTATTAAAGATATCAGCATTGAGAGCAACTAGAGCGATGTGCATGCATCTGTGGCGTGTCTGTGTGTTGCATGAATTTGCATGTGTGCTTTTGGGGACAGGAGCTGTAATCACTAGTTTCATGCTTTTAATGGCAGCAGGGATGCTTATGCTTCATTTCGTTAAATTCAACTAGTGCTGGGCTGAGCACGAAGTCGTATACTAAAATATAGAATTTTATATTCTTTATTTTTTTTACAGAAGGACGGTGTTTTAACTGCCGAGATGGTCTCCAGCTGTGTCTCCAACCTTGGCCGCTTCAACACTGGGCTGCAGCACTCATACCACCACCTCTCTCTGCCTGTGAGACACTTTTCCCTTCTTCTTTTTTTTTTTTATATATTGTATGGCTTTCAAGAATATTAATTGTCTGATTTATAAAGACAAAGCGATTGCCTGACAAACAAGTTAACTTCACATAGTGTCATGTTCTCGTTATGGCACCAGTTCACTTTTCAGTCAATTTCCGAGGCAAATTTTGTTCAGCGAAGTTTGTATTTTTCTGTGCTTTAGCGTCAAAATCTGAGTGACATCTCCATTTTATGCAACTACATCTATCTCCAAAAGCTGGAACTGCCGCACAACAAAATCAAAGGTGATTTTTTTGCTTGTTATAAGCATCTTTACTTTTATAACAGACGTGTTTTTTGTTTGAGCCTGTGGCAATTTTAGTAAAGGATATAGCGAGAGGTAATCAGACACAATTATCCGCAATATCCTACTACTTCGTTTGCTGTCTCTCATAACTAATTTCTGTATCTTTTCCCAATGGCTAGATTTATCCTGTGTGAGCCACATGCCCTACCTTGTCATCCTGGATATTTCTCATAATGAAATCTCCAACTTCTTTGGATTCCAGCCACCCAAGAATCTTAAGGTAAACCAGGACATTGAGCTGACAGAACAAGACCACATTTGATTGTTGGCGTGAGCCCCAATCTCTCTTGCTATTCCCTCAAGAAATGCCCTGGATTTCCATTGCCCATCTGTAGTACTTTCAATGTGCTTACACGGCATTAACTGCCCTTGAATGACAGTGAACTTCAGCAAATTGCAAATTCTTTCATGTACTCTATGGATTAACTCAAAGTTCTTCTTCAGACTTTGACGACTTTTGGTAATAGTGTGCTTCTGTTTTTAGGAAGTCAATTTTTCCCACAACCGTCTGACAAAACTGAAAGATTTGTCAGCCTACTCATCTCTTACTAAACTGGATCTGGACTGTATCCTTACTTAAAGACATCTGCATTCATCCAGGAGCACATAAACCTACAAATACACACCTTTTATGTATTTGCCTGTCTCTCTGTAAGGTACTACATAGTACATAACAAATATTGTTCTCTCAAATAAAGTCTCTGTCTTGACTTTTATATGAAAACACATCACGTTCTATTGCAGTTTTTTTTCTTCTCTATTATTCTTAACATGCCCGAAATCAGACAACTGTCTTAGTGAGATATTTGGTCTGGAGCAATGTTGCCAGCTCACCCATCTTAGCCTGGCGCACAACAAGATCTCAAGGATCAGTGGACTGGAAGCTCTGCCTCTCACACACCTTTGCTTGGTAAGTCCAGCTCTAAACAAAGTTCACTCAAGGACGTCAAAACAAAAATATAATTTGTCTTTCGTTCACATTGCTTGGCTGCTTTGCTGCAGGTTGTGTATCTCCCTGGTTGCCTTTTATCGAAACCATAGACTGAGAAGATACACTATGTGCCTTAACCTCCTCCCGTTGAACAAAAGTGAAGCCCAAATAAGGGTGCTGACATCATGCGCATTTGGAGCCAGAGTCTGTAGGGATCGACTGCAAGAGCCGGTAGCTTCCAGTCATGAAAACTCGCATTTAATTTTACAGATTAAAGGTCAAAGATCCCTCAGTTCAGCACAGCTCACAGCAGAACAGATTCTTGTGTCAGTTTGTAGCAGACATTCACAGTTGTCGAAGTTCAAAGACTCTTGTGTTTGTGTTCGTTAGGTTTCCTCTCAACGTTTCTCCTCTACACATCTTATCCAGTGCACACAGTACAGTGAGAGCTGCATTCATCAACAAAGCTGTCAATTATGGCATTTTATACCTTTTTAAAGCATCAAACAACTCATTAAAAAGAAACTTCTCAGAAAAAAAGATGATTTGAACATAAATCGGCATGATAGAAAAACGAACTATTAAATACAAATCAGGTTTTAGAGAGGTTGTTTGAGGTGTATTCTGATTTTATACTTTGACCATGTCCCATCTGTTAACATAGAAGAGGCAGGGTTTATGACCCATACTGCAGCCAGTCAGAAGGGGGAGCTCTAAATCTTTTGGCTTCACTTGAGCTGAGATTTTTCCCTGTCCATTCTTAATACCTCTTAAATAATAAATTTCACCTATTTCAGTTTGTCTCACTCCCTTCTGTCTTTCTCTTTATGTCTCTGTTTTTTGGCTGCATTTTTACAATCAGTAAAACCTTGGCCCCCTGTTCGAGAATCACCATATGGTCCAACAGCAGGCTTTATCTCTCTCGCTCTCTTTCTCTGTGTGTGTGTGTGTGTGTGTGCACATGCGTATTCTGTCCTTTATCAATGTTTTCTCATTGTCAGCAGCCATCGGTCTGGCCGTGTCTGCCCCTGTCTGTAGCTTTGCTTTGGGACCAGCTGCTGGTGTTTGAGTGAGCCTGGACCAATTTCAGAACATGCACACACCCATGCAGACACTCACACATACCTTATCCATCCAACATCCATCTCATTCCGTCCCTGACCCCTCTTCCACACATGCTACCTCCCTAAACAGCACAGCCCTGTCAGCCAGGCTGTTTCACAGCCCATCACAGCATCGACCTGGAGCTTCAGGGGACCAGCTCAGTCACCCGCCCCTGCTGACAGCAGCCCTCTGCCAGGCAACATGCTTGGCAAGATCAGGCTGAGGTGTGGCCAGACGGATAGATAACAACAACTTTAGTCAGAGGAATTGACTAAGATGCAGGCTGGGGACCCTGACAAGAGAGGAGTACCCAGGTCTGGTTCTTTAGTTAGTTAGCGTGCTGTGCTAGTACCTCACCAGCTGTTTGGCTGTCAGTCCTCAACTGTCAGGATTAAGCAGAGAAAGGCAGAGCTGCCACTCAACCCAGCACTAAAGGGAAAAAAAGATCAGGCACCCCGCAGAGCGACCATGGCATGTCCTCAATATTTATTAGTGGGAATCATTGACTGTATGTTAAGTGGATCTGTTGGTTTAAAGCCCCCTATGTATGCATGCATATTCATGAAATCACATACTTGTCTCTTCAAAAGTGCCCTCTATCTTGTCTGTGTCCAGAGGGGAAACCAGCTGGAGAGGATAGAAGGGTTGGAGAGTCTGAAGAGTCTGCAGGTTCTTGACCTGTCTATGAACTGTATCACCAGTCTGTCTGGCCTCCAGAATCTCCACCTGCTTGGCTCAATCAATCTGGAGAAAAATCTGGTATTGATCTGAAACAACCCTCAGGAAGAATTAGTTCACCACAGAAATCTGGCATCCTACGTGTTCATGTGTTTAAGATTATTCATGTAATTCCATTTGTGTTTCAGATTAGTGAAATCCAGGAGTGCAAACACATTCATGACCTTTTCCTCCTGAGGGAACTCAACCTGCAGGGAAACCCTGTTCAGGTAAACATACTTTGAGCTGGTCATGGTCTACTTTGATAACATTTATCAAATTTGCAGAGACAAATTCATTAAACGCTCAGGATATTGTTTGTGATTCCTCATCATTATGTTTTTGTAATACAATTCGTTTTAATTTCTTTGTGCAGGAGCAACCAGGTTATAGACTAGCAGTCGTCTTCCTCCTTCAACATCTGACTGTGCTGGACCAAATGAAAGTCACAGTGGAAGAAAAGGTAACGATTAGCATGATAATTATTACTTTTGGTATGGTGACAAGAGGACTGTTTCGATAATACCACATAGACATGTTTAAACACCACATATTGATTCATCAGTAGACTACATACAGAGCTAGAATAACCTATCTAAAATATATATATATATATATTGGGCAATTTTTGTCTGCTTAAAAGAGACAGGAAATGTTTAGAGAAGAAAGGGGGGCAGACAAGCAGCAAAGGGCTGAGGTCGAATACGAACCCATGGCCGCTGCAATGAGGACCGGAGCCTCTGTACATGGGGTGCATGACATAACTGCTAGGCTATCCAGCGCCCCTAGAATTACCTAATTCTGATGAAATGTTTCCCCTGGACGTAGGATTGTGAGCACTATATGACACATAATCACTTATTTTAAATCCCAGGTGTCATCAGTAAACAAGTATGACCCTCCTTTGGACGTGGTGGCAGCCAGAGACCACATGATCCACCTGGTGTATCAGCTGATGCAGCCTCAGGTGCTCTATGACAGGTTGGTGCATGTACTCTGGCTTTTTCCTTCATTTAAAGCTGAAAATAAGATAATTATCCCTTTAAATGTAAACCTAAGGAATACTAAAAGTACAATCATGCTGTACACCACTCTACAGTTCACTTTCGCTCTAAGAAGACAATACTAAATAACATTTTCACTGCAGAGCATGAAATTGAGAACCAATCATGTTAAGTCATGAAAAAGCCTGTGCTGTAGCTTTCCTTTAAATAACAGCATTAGCACCACAGGGTGAACATGCTCTATTACAATTCCTGAATTCTATATTTGATGTAAGCGCTTGCAAAGATGAATGTAAGCATTGTGTAGGAAGTGTGCAATTCATTCTGAAGCAATCACAGATTTTGGTGATCATATTATACAAATCGTGTAAAATCAACCATCAAGACTGTTGTGTTTTATTGATCAACAGCATTTCATCTGTCAATGTACACTTGTATTATCTACCACTGAAAGATACAAATCAGGTCATGCATCAGCCTTTTATTGGACACATTAATCATCAGCAAATGAAATACTGCAGCTGCATTCAATGTTCTGTTTTCCACTGTGCGTTGTCCTTCTCAGCACATCCATTGCACCTTCAAGGCCTTGTTTATATTGACTGCAGTTGCTTCATGTTTCATAATAAGCCCTGTTTATGTTTGGTCTGAGATAATTTATGTAAAGTCTAAGTGTGTCAGAAACCTATTTGTGTTTGTGTGTGCATCTCCAAACAGCACTTTGCCCAGTGCAGACTCCCCATACCCCATGCTGGTTCTGACTGGTCCTCAAGGCTGTGGGAAGAGAGAGCTTGCCCACAGACTGTGCCAGGAGTTCAGCGAATACTTCGCCTATGGGTCAGTCTCAAAGGTTTTCTGTACACATAGCACTTGTCATTTCATATGCCTAGGAAGTGTCATCTCATAAAACTTTCACAATGCTTAAAATAAATGACTAAATTCAGTCAATTCAACTTTAAATATGTATCACAAAATAGCTTAATGCTGAAATAATTTATCATATATAACTGTGTTAATACGATGTCAGACAAGTTATGGTTATTCAGAAAGTATAACTTCCAAAATACATATGCTGTCAAAACACTATTTCAAATAACAGGACAAGTAAAAAAAGTTCTTGCATGGTCAAAAATTTCAGATAAAAAGTTTATGCTGAACTGAATTTGGGCTTTGATTGCACTAGGAACTGTTGATTTTCATTTATGGAAAATAGAATAAATCTTTGCCTGAATACAATAAAGAATAAGATGAAATCATATATTTTTAAGTCTATCTTCTACTTTACTCACATCCCTGTCACTCATTATGATTATTGGTTGTTGTAATCGTTTCTCTTGTCCACATTGTTTTACAAGCTGTCCCTTGTGTCATAACTGAGGGAGGAAAATTAACACTACTTTTTTCCTTGCCAAAACCATTTCTTCAGTGCAGCCAAAACCCATATGAGGCTTCAGCTGTCTGAGTTTGCCAAAGCAAGTTGTTGTAGTAGTCCTTGTCTTGGTTGTCATGTGTGGAGTTATTGCTGGGGTTTGTCCTGGTCATCCTGCCAACGGGAGTTATCACTCCGCTGCTTGTCGGGAAGGAAACTTTGGAAGGTATCCATTCAGTTTGTCAAAGTCAGACTGCTGAAGCTTCATATTAGCTTTGGCTTTAATAAATGGAAAAAGGATTTCACATTGTTTCCCTTCCTTAATGTAGTCCAGGCACAAGAGGATCTCTTCATTAAGATGAGGAACAGTTTTACTGACCAATTCTTCTTCCTACATACAGTGCATGAGGTATTTGAGTATGGTTTTAGGAAATACTGGGGGCTACATTTTGCAGCAGTAAAATCTTCAGCTATAGGTAATAACATATCCCTGGCTCCTAACTGGTGGATGGTTTTAATGTCTGAAATTTTCCAGAAAGCAAGGGATTTAGTCCCAGCTCATAACTTCCCTACTGATCCATTTTAGTGGTTGTAGGGCTGAGATAATCCACATACATAGAGCTCATAAATTTAAAGGCTTTGTATGTTTGTTGAACTCTTCAGACTGACCTTTTCATTAATCTGTGTGTGTTATTTTGGTGTGTGTTATTTTGGTGTGTGTGTGTGTGTGTGTGTGTGTGTGTGTGTGTGTGTGTGTGTGTGTGTGTGTGTGTGTGTGTGTGTGTGTGTGTGTGTGTGTGTGTGTGTGTGTGTGTGTGTGTGTGTGTGTGTGTGTGTGTGTGTGTGTGTGTTTCCACAGAACCTGTCACACCACAAGGAGGCCCTACTTTGGAGAGGAGAATGGAATTGATTATCATTTTGTCAGTGAGGAAGATTTTCAGAACATGATACACATGGCAAGTTAGCTTATTATTAACTTTTTTTGGCGACGATTATATGCTGTCGCCGCTGACATGCAAAGAGATTAATACTCGTTAATTAAATGTAGATACTTTTAGAGTCATCCTTAATGCAAAGATCAAATTTACCCACTGTCAGTAATGCATTGGGTAGTAGAGACAATACTCTTTATTAAGATGGATTAATTCTACTTCCAATGGCTGAGATTTCAGATAAAAGGGAATGGAGCATTTTTTTTTTGGATCAGGTGTAATGGCTATATTAATTAAAATGTATTGGATGACAACTGACAAGGAGTCGAGAGCTGGGCTTTAACGTTATCAATAATAGAATAGATAGAATAGAATTACTTTATTGATCCCAAACTGGGAAATTGTGGCGTTACAGCAGCAGGTTATCCAAACACACAATATGAGTAAAAAACACAATGTTAGCAAATCTAAACATAATATAATATTAAATACAAAGTAAATAAGCACTAAAAATATCAAAACTAAGAATGTGAATATATACAACTAGGATTAAACTAAGCATTACTAGTCTTAAATAGGAAGATTAAATATGGAAGATTAAATGTAAATCTGCAAGAACAGAGTCGTAAATGGTTGTAAATTAAAAATGAAAGATTAAATGTAAATATGCAAAATGGACAGTATTGACATAAGTTAAAGTGCATGAGTGTAGACATATTATAAGCAGAAGCTATACAATATAACGGTGAGTAGACAGCCCAATGAAGTGAGCATGAGTGCAGGGATAATTTGTAAATTCAACATGTGCAGAACAGATTACAGTATGAAGAGACAGATATTATCATGATGACAGTTCTCTGCTCACAAGAGGTGAGCTGTTGTACAGAGTTATGGCCTTCGGTAAGAAAGATTTCTTGTATCTGTCCTTGTGACAGCGGAGTTGTGTCAGTACATATCCTTTGGCCAAATACCATGAAATAGATCTTTCCATAGACAGTCAGCATGATCACTTTTTATTTGTGTTCATCAACAGCACATTAATTCATTACAAAAGGGTTGTGCTCACATGCTTTGAATATAAGAAGACAATAATGGTATCTACAGTTTCCTAAAGTCAGAAAAATGGATGCTGAGGTCGGAGGCCTTGGACACATTTGTTTTCCATCTTGTCTCTCCTGTCAAACTGCCTGTTATGAAAGAATGGGGAGGGATGATAGATTGAGGTCCAGGTCATGTAGTGATTTATTCAGGGTGACGCTTTGATGCTAGAATTTATGCCTTTCGTCTACTCCAACAGAGGAAGGTTTACGTTACAGACGATCCCTCTTTTGTCTTGATTTTTCCATTCCTTTCCTTAAACCCTTTTTCTTCTGTTTATAGTTATTAGCCGTTTTTTTTCACCTTTTCTGATGCACTCTTCTTCTTCTTCTCCTTCTTCTTCTTCTTCTTTACTCCCTTGTTCCTCCGATGTGATTTTCAGTAACTATGCAATCATAACCTCTCAAACCCACTTGTGGTAGCTATTCAAAATGAACCCCAATCAGCAGTCCTTGGTACTTATTATACTCCTTAGTGTGTTGTAAACATAAGGAACACCTGCTGTGCAATTTTGTCTAAATAGCTTTAATAGTAATGCCTCACAAGTATTGTGCTTGCAATTGAGTGTTTGAATGCCACCAGCAACCTATTTCACCTATTGTTCAGGGATAACACAAAGACATTCAAGGGAGATTCAATTCCCTTTAGACCTTATGAGTTCTCTCTTAATTATTATTTTGCATTTGTCTTTTTGATTATATGTAGTTGTGAAAGGCAGAGAGAAAAGAGTTGAGTCTTTTTTTTCTGCAAAAACATAACAAAATGGAGCCAAGAAATATCTTTTGTTAGCACACAATTTAATCCCATTGGCTCCAATTATGGCAGTTTACTTGACATGCCAGGAAATGATTTTAAATGTAGAAAACATCCGTAATATAGTCAACACAGGCTTCACTAAAACAATACAGAGCAAAACAACAGCTACTCAACTGAAGTAATAGAATGAATGCAGCACAACGTTTTTGTCTGATTAGAACCTTTTATTATTTGACACCTAACAAACTAACCAATGATCAAGAATTACCTTTTACAGTTAGGTCACGAGTGATTTTGCCATGAGCCTTTTCAGGGTGGTAAATCATATTGTACCAATGAAACGGCCCCTAAGGCAGTAAACAAAAGGTCAGGGTTCATGTGTGACAGGTTACAGAGAGAGACACTTTTGTTGTACTAACCATGAGGTCAAAAGTTGAGTTCACAGGTGGGCATATACCTGAGCCTGTTAATCATGTCAGAACATGCTAGGGCTTTATTTATACGTTCAGTCGTATGTCCCCTTTTGAAGATAACTGCTGCTTGTAACTGAAGTGACATTATAACTAGGAGGCAATGAAACAACACACTAAAACGTTTTCTCATTCTTCCCCTTATAACTGAATATTCACTTTTAGGGTAAGTTTATCCAGACCATGCAGCACGGGGGTCACAGGTATGGTCTGACCAGAGACGCCGTAGAGGATGTAGCCAGAGAGGGACTCGCCTGCTGTGTGCATATGGAGCTAGAGGTGAGTGTGGAAAACGTTTCTCTGGGAGAATATTAAGCAGGCCAATACCAATTGTGATTATTAAAGCTAGTTGACTGACAAAGAGTAGAGATGTGAAGCCGTCAGCAACAGGAAATGCTTTTATTTATTATGTTCAACACTCTAAACTAAATGTTACTGTCCATTAGATACAGTTTCTAAAGCACCATAAGAGTATAATGACTGTTTCGGATGACCTGAACAGATCATGTAGTATCTTAAATCCTACTCATTTGAGCTCTATTCTAACAACCATTTTCTTAGCTCAAATAGCTTAGATATTCTTGATGTATATCTCCTGTGAAAAGAAGCATTTTTTGCTTTCCTGGTTATTTCTGAACAACCCAGGAAATAATATTTTTTTGTTTTTAAACCGACACATGCAGCAGCTGAAGACAATATCTGTTTTGTTTTGATTAGATTGACACTGAGGTATTGCAAACAATTTCCATCCAACCCATGGGACTGAGATTGAAGTTTCTTCCTCTGCACTAACCGTGCGTTTTATTGGAATGAAAGCCACAAAGAAATGTCTCTGTATTTCAGGATAGTCACTATCCATATCACATGTTATGGATTCCTAAATTGCCTGTACTAGTCTGTGTGGGGGAGTGTGCTACCAGAGGATTTGAGGATAATCATTATCATCTCAAAGTCTCTGCCGCACAGTATGGATCACTTCAGAGACAATTCAAAGTTGAAACAGACAAACACACAACTCTCATTTTAACACAATTGTAAACTGTTTGTTTATTATTATAGGGGGTGTTCAGTCTGAAGAAAAGCTGCTTCGAGCCTCGATACATCCTGCTCATCCCCACCAAGGTGGAGAAATACATGGACCAGCTTAAAAGCCGTGATCTGTATACCCAAGCACAGATTGATACGGCTGTGTCACGTATAGAGCTCTATGCCAATACCAACAGGCAAAGGCCTGGATTCTTCGACAATGTTATCCCCAGTGGTAAGGCCGGGAAGCATGTAGCGTCTGAAGTGTTTGTTGTTGTGAAGTGGAATGTTTTCATTCATGTTTTTGATGGTGTACGTGTTAATTTAAGTGTTCACCACAGAGGATTATAATAGTAATCTAGTGTTGTATTGTGGCCAATCAGATCAATCCTACTATTAGTCAGTAAGTGTAATTATAAATATTCACAATTAATTTCTAACACAAATATATCATGAGCAAATAAAACACTTAAAGTGTTCCCATGGGGGACATTTTTACTTTGCACTTATTCAACTTTTAGATATGATGTTAAGATGAAAGAATGGGAAAGTGTTTGCTGTGTTCAAAGGCAGTTTGTAATCGTAGTGCCTCACTGAGTGAGAAATACCCTTCCATACCCTGTCTTAGCGCAAGTGTCATTGGTATAGCCTCAGATAGATTAACACACTTCTCTAAAATCCATACACTACACTTTCAATCCAATTACCACATGTATTAAGGGCACGTAGCCACAGAATAGCTCTGTTTATCATTCCCTCATGAAAGCCCTCAGACATGTTGGCTGTTTCCTTAATGAGATGAACATACAGGGACTGCAGAACCTCATCACTTTTATGCACTGCTAGCTAGCACATCATTACACTAAGGTCATCATACCCATATCTTTGATTCATTACTGTTTGATGGGAGACACATTGGCTCTGTTCACAACCAGATTCTCTTTTGTTGGGGGGCTGTGTGTGTGTGTGTGTGTGTGTGTGTGTGTGTGTGTGTGTGTGTGTGTGTGTGTGTGTGTGTGTGTGTGTGTGTGTGTGTGTGTGTGTGTGTGTGTGTGTGTGTGTGTGTGTGTGTGTGTGTGTGTGTGCACTTGGATATGAGAAGATGACTGTGAAGAAGCCTTTCAGTCCCTGAAGCAGATTGTGAAGGAGTACCTGTTGCTAGAGGAGCAGGATGATGGGGAAAACAACAGAGCATCTCCTGACAACACCTCAGTGGGTGTGTATTGATTTGTTTGCTTGATCATCATGAGTAGACTCAAATTTTGTGAACACAGACAGGGTGTAAAATGCAGTACAATACGTCTTGCACACCCTGCACTCTATTTTATTGTTTAGCTTTGATTGATAGACTTAGTGGTAGGACACTACACAATAGGGGTTTCAGTCTGACCAACTAACTTCTGGGACATTGCTTAGTCATTTTAACCAGTCTTCTTTATAATCTTTTATGGAGTTGCAGTACTCATTAGCTGGATTTTTTTTAGCATCTTCAATTATAAAAAAAAATTGAATCTGTTTTCTACATTAGCATACTCTCTGTATTTCTATTTTAAACATGTTTTTTCAAAAATGCTGCAACCATATGATACAGTGTTACACGTATTCATATGCAGGAACTTTGTCCTCCTCTCTCAGGTCACGAACCAGAGGAAAAGCTACTTTCACCCCTGTCAAGGTCTACACCTCACTCAGCCATGGCTCTTGATCCATCACATTTGTCCTACAGGAACTATTTCACCAAGATCCAGGCAGAGCTCAGCCCACAGAAGAGCCCGGCAGTGAGTTACAGGATGTCTTGTGAATTATGTATTGTTAATGAAGCCTGTAAAAGGTATAAAATACACATGCAGACTGTAAACATTTTGGGGGAAATAATCCTAAATCTTCTAACAATGTGCTCGCTTTCCTTCTCTTCCCGCTTCCTCCCCCCACATCTCCTCAATCACTCTCCAAATCAATTTCCCTCTCTTGTTTCTACCTTTAATCCTGTTTACTTCTCCTTTTACTCACCTTCCCACTTCCTCCCATTTGTCCTTCTCTCTGTCTCCCTCTTTTGCAGGAGCTAGCCTCCATCGCAAGGCGAGAGCAGCTGGTGAGAGAGGCTATAGTGGGGAAGAGTCCAGGGGTCTATAGCCAGCTCTTCAAAAGGTTTTTTTAAGTAGCACACACTCCACTGCACTCCAAGGCTTGATTTCAAGTAGATCACTCTCTGATAGGCCAAATAGGTTTAATTGGTGCTTTTGTCCTAACTGCCTTTTGATGGTTTATTTTGGCTTGTTGTTGACCTTGAGGGTGAAGTGGCAGGTGCGCAAATAATTTGATTCTTAACTGTTTGTTAATAAGAAGTGCTTGTGCAGTGTCTCTCTCCTAAAACAAACCATACTCCAGTCATTATTACAACACATCTGAATGCATGCTTGAATTTGTTTATTTTATTTTTCAGCTCTGCTCAAACAGCACAGGTACAGAATCAGGAGCCTGGTACCCGTGTGAGTGAAGACAGCAGGTAAGAAAACAGACATATACACACTCACTAAAACAAAGTCTATACAGTTTCTAAATCCAGAGTAATGGCATTCTAGTCAATGATGAGATTAGATTATCCAGGAGAGGTATTTTGCTTTCATAATAATTAATGTGAGGCTGAAGATTTAGGGTTAGGAAACAACTTTTGGAGGACTAATCTCGTGGTTTAGGTTTGTTTTCAAAAATGAATATTGAATCTATAGAGCTTTTCCAACTTGTACATGCCAGGCGTGGACAGATCACACACACATGCACACGCTCCTTTGTGTGATTTTAAAGCTTTTGCTGCTATTTGACTCCCCTGTGTGTACACTTAAGATCAATGAACAAGCTTTCTGCACAAATATATATTCAATTAGTTAGGCAGACATTGACATGTTATGTGCGTCTCTTGCACGCAACAGCACAGGCAGCTTTATCTGTCCTGTAAAAATTAGCTTCAAATTAATTTAATGACTTAAACAGAGGATGATCCTTAAGATACATGCAGAGATACTGTGCATGTTCAGTCAAGTTGAAATGGTTGCCTTTGGGTTCATGTTCTGAGAATGCAAGTGTCACCAACACTACAAGTCCTGTCAGCTCAGTGTGAGCCATAAATGCCCCCAGTGTGTAATGTTAGCATTACTCAGCCATTCAGTATTTCTACAGAGGATTCCAGACATCTGTCTTCAGTTCTCTTAAGAGGGATGTGCCTTTACTTGTGTGTGTCTATCTCATATAGTGTAACAGAAGATCCTTTTGTATCACTCTGATGAGATGGTTGCATAGTCTTTTGTGTTTTTGTTTGTGTGAATTACTTTCAATTGCCTTGTGGGGGGGGTTCATGCGTAAATGTAGTGACCACTATCTTTACCTGTTAGTTTATTCAACAACAAAATCCAGTGTCAAATTAATGTTACTTCCTCAATACCGGTCAAATAAAAACCCATCCATATCGTCAGCTCCCATGCTCCCAGTATGATTGTAGAACTGACACATTTTCTTTCTGCAAAAGCTCCTTACTCTTTCAATTCCTTTGTTTTTCTAACCGTGATCATATGTACCTTTTACAACCTTCTTTTTTTATTCTGTACACAATGCACCTCTTACTGCATAAACCTTTTCCTGCCTTTTACCTATCTGTTTGTCTTCTCTTCCATCCTTTCTTTCTCTCCTTACATAAGCAGCTGGGACGAGTCTCGTGCTAGTTCTGCACTGTCCGTGCCCAGTTCAGCTGGGGCCTTGTCCAACCTAGTGGAGCCACTAGATATCTCTGTCCTGGGTCAAGCCTTGGAAACACCCAAAGGTCATTATAATTTATTATTATTATTATTATTATCATTATTTCCTTTTTTGTTATGTATAGAAAGAAAAGGAGACTTTATGTTTTATCTGCTAAAGGCCAGTATAAAAAAGACATTTTAACAAACACATTCCAATATATTCTTGTTTATTTTTCTTTTGTCATTCACATTATATATTTTTTACAATCATAACTATCTGAAGATAATCTAGCAGCCTGTATAAAGTTTAAAGAAATGTTGGTCTATGTGTTTTCCTAGTTGTGATCACTTAGTAAATATGTTCAATTTTGTAAAACCTTATTGCATCAGGTCAAACTACTGAAGACCTCCCTCCTGGCACAGATCAGATGGATTTGGTCGCGTCCTCGCCTTCTGACAGACGTCCTGGTTCCAATGCTTTGCCCATCCTGCCACCAATCCCTACTGGACGCAAGACCCCTGCAGCATCCAGCCCTGCTCCTTCACCCAGACCCAGCCCAAACCCAGCAGGAGGACAGGGAAGCGTGCAGACAAAGATGGCTAGCACTGAATCTGAAATCTAAAAATATGTACAAATGGAAAGTTACTGCTTGTTGAAGAATAAATGTTATCCACATTAAGATAAAGTAAGAAGTAGCCAATCAGTCAATCTTACACTTTCTAGGTTAGATTTCACTGTCAGCTCTTGCCTTTCCTGTGATCTGTCTGTCTTGTATCAACATGTCTGGTTCTCTTTACTATATCTACCTGACAAGTGATGGCCTTAATAGTCATATACAAGGTGACTATAAGGTATAATTACAGGAAAAGCGTTTCCTCTGTGTAGAAGACTGGCATACTGGCCATAAAGTATACATTGTTGATAAAGATTATCATTTGCAGACTGATTGACGAGGATGTCTTTCAGTTATGATGAATAAAAGCGTGTTTAACAGAACTGCTCTTCTTTCTTTCTTTTTTTAACTTCTGGCTCAAAGTGTTATCGGTTTCTCTTAATGTCTGCAAAAGAATGTGCTGAACGATATGATCCATGATTATAGCATTGATTTCCTTGGCAGTGAAGTGTTATTATATTTCCTACTGTTCAGTAATCTCATCAAATAGGATTTGCCTTTGACATCTAGCAGCTGATCTGTTATGCACAGCATGGAACTCTTGTCATTGGATGATAAATACATCATTAATCTTTATCTCTTCTGATGGGATTATTCAACTGGAAATGTGCTCATATGGAAGTTGTTGACAGGTATTAAACAGTGAGCCATCACAAACAAGTTAGTGTGCTTTTGTCAGTTTGTGTGTGTGTGTGTGTGTGTGTGTGTGTGTGTGTGTGTCTGTGTGTCTGTGTGTCTGTGTGTGTGTTGCACCTGAATATTTGTGAACTTTTAACAGCATTCATTTTTGATTCAATGCAAAATTGATATTGTCATCTGTCATGGATGCACGCATTGCTTATTTAACAGTCCGTCTGCTGGTGTTTGCATGTGAATGTGCACATACAGTATGCATGTTTGGTTTCCTGAACTGGATATGTGAATGCTGGGCTCCAACACACACACACACACACACACACACACACACACACACACACACCTGGCCATCCATCACTGTCTGTCTTCCTCTCAGGCAGCAGATGTTGCAACGCTGTCATAATTCTTTGGCAGTTTGAAACCAGACAGTGTCTTGGGGGCCCCTGGGGTCTAACCTACTTGCACAGCAGTCTGGATCTCATACTATAGTTTATCAGGGACTTACATGTTGTCTTCCTGTGTATTTATTTTCCACTAGATACAGATATGTGCTTGACGATGTGTTCCAAAATCCTTTGAGATTGTACATGTGCAACCATACGTACTCTCTGATGCTATGCACTTGATACATGCCCTCTACTTGTCAAGTTATTCTTAATTTGTTGGCATCTGTCTTTGTGCCTCCCATGGATAGTTCACAAACATTTTACTGAAGAAAACAACAAACAGCTGTATTCCTCTCTCTGCTGCTTTCTATGCATCATAAACCAAGTCCATAACAAAGTTACAACATGTGTCTACAACAACACATCACACTCTGCTGAACCCGAGTCTTCCCTCACTTCAGCAGCAGCTAAAAAAATAAACATGTCACACACTTTCATCTCGACGTGACTCCACAAGACAACAACAACACTTTTCACCAAAGAGCGAAGCAGATCACATTTTCTGGGAGACTTCCTTGCGTCTAGGATTTATGTGTGCAGGAAGGAGTTGTTATGGGGCATATGCAGAAGCACGTAATCAATTTTCAAAAAGCTCAAGTGGCCAATGTTCTGAATAAAATGTTCACGATATTTGTGAGACTTAGGCCTTGAAAGGAAAAACACTTCTCATTATTTTTATTCCAGAGAGGATGATGTAGGAGAAAACAGAAATGTTAAGAACCATAACAAATCTGGATCTGCACTACATCAGATAGACTGTCTGATTGGATACCACCTGTAGTTCTTATACTGAACCATAAGGTCTTAAAAGAGCTATGTTGTGTGGATCAACAGAGAATGAAAAAACACTGCAAGACTCTGTGGTATAAATCCAACCAGGACATGTATATATCAGCCTCTTTTTTTTTTGTTCAAAGTATTTTTATTGATGTTTTGACATAAAAAAAAATACAATTATAAGACAGAATGTTATGAACAAAATATATTCCCTTCTCCCTCTGCCCTATTCAATGACAGCCCCCAGGCCCCCACCCTCCCACCCTCACCATTGTACCACACAAATAAAAATAGAGAAATATTGGTTGAGCATTGAAGGAAGAAAATAATGTTATTAAAGGTTTGACAATATGAACAAATTGAAATTGATTGAAGTTGACAATGAACACAAATGAAATAGAATAAAAAACATAGATACAATTTATGAAGAAAGGCAAGAAAACAAATGAGAAAAGAAAACAATAAGTACATATAAATATAAATAATTCTTCATTGGGTTATCAATGTAGAGATGTAATATTGGCAGCATCAATTTTCTCTACATTTGATAGAAGGCTTCTATGTGGCATACCAGTCGCTTAGCTAGAAGAGTTACCCTAAAGCTATTATATTATTTTCATGATTTCTTAAAAGTATCCCTGGGGGGCAACCCAACATATCTTATGTTGGCTGCCCAGTTATAGCTTTGAGAGTTTGGGATGGATAACCCGCCATGTTTTTCATATTTAAGGATTTTTCTTGTTCCAAATAAATCTTGATGTTTTTTCTCTTAGGACATAAGGAAAGATGTACACAGGAAATTAAGGATGCATTGAAACAGGTATAAAAACTTAGGCAAAAAAAATACATTTTGATAGTGTTGACACAACCACCAAGTGATGAAAGCAGGGAGTACGAGCGTTCCAGGACTTATTTGAGATGGACTAGTAGAGGAGAGACATTACCGATGTATCTTTAAAAGTGATTCTGAGTATGGCTGAAAGACCTCCACTTGATGACCTGAGGGGCCGGGTCTGTTTGTAGTCTGTGAGCAGGTCAGAAAAGTACACAACTTGGCAAGCATCTTTCTTGTCTGTTCCTGCACCCTTTCCTTTTCTTACACCATACAGGGCCAGCAGTTGTAGCTACTTTCACTTCTTGTGTGTTTTCCTTTTAAGAGTCCTTGTGAAAAGAGGGGGAGGAAGAGGGATGGTTATGAGGCTGAGAATGGAGTTGGAAAACAGTCTGTGAAAGCACAATAATATGTTACAGGCACTGCTGTAAACTTGGTGACATGTGGTATGAGAGTGTGAGGGAGGAGCAGGGAAACACCTACTCATTTTAACCGCAATACATTCATACCCTTCTTGAGGATATTACACCATCTATATTGTCTTTATCTAAAAGGCCTGGCATTGAGAACTTGTATTATACATCAGTGATTTTTGTTCAGTTGTGCAGTTTTAGCTTTGCCAGTTTCTTGAACAGGGAGGTTTTTAAGGTAAAGGACGGTGAGAACAGACAGATCCCACGTGTGTTGGATTGTGCTGAATTTGCTGTTTTGCTTAGTAGACTTTTGTTGGAGGTAGTGTTTGTTTGAGCTGCATGGCTTAATTATAGCACTGACCTTCATGTGCTCAACCTTCAACCTTGCATTTATGTAACTTTATACCTCTATTTGATTATTTCTTTGACATTGTCACAGTGATGGAGTATGTTTTCTCATGTTTTGCACTTAAATACAAGTCGAAGTACTTTAAACCGCAGTGCTATTTCTATTCTTACTTCCATGACTACATTTCAGAGTGACATATACACATTAATGAGGAACACATTTATCTTAAACCTCTGATTACCCGGCACTTAACAACTATACATTTCCCCGAGAAAATTATATATATTTAAAGGAGAATAAATTGTAGTTAAAGTCATTTCTGCTTCAACATTTAAATGATTATTCATCAGTTATAAAAGTCAAATTTTGAAATAAGTCTCAAAATATACATTATTACAACACTCAAAGAAATGTTTTTGTATCTTCTATTCTGTACAACATTTCCATTTGATCCATTGGTGATCTTCGATTATGATGCACCATATTACTTTAAAGTACATTTTTGAAAATATGCATGCGCTGTTAGGTCATAACCAACCAACCAACCAACATACTCTTTCCTTAGGCCTTTACAAAAAGAGCTTATCTTTTCTATCCAAATAGGTTCTGTCAGTATGTCATCATCCACATTAAGCATTAATGTCGGGTAAAGGAGCTACAGATTGGAAGCTGTTTCCAATAGTAAAGACTGAGTTATTTCAACAGGAACACTCCTGGATTTATCTCTTCAACCTTTTCTCTCTCTCTGGTTTTTAGAGGCTGTACGAATAGGTCAGGATGCTGATATTCACACACACACACACAGAACACACACCTCTGCATTAACTCTGCCGCATGATGTGGCGCCACACTCCGTAACCATGGCAACGGCACTCTGCACTGCACCTCCCTGTGTATATATATATATGTGTGTGTGTGTGTGTGTGTGTGTGTGTGTATAGCTCCTCACTGTGTCCCCTGCGGACAGATTAATTCCCTGCCAGAGTCATTCCTTGTCAACTTGCTGAAACAAAAAGTTTCTCTTTTAATTAGTTGGGTGCAGTGTCTTGCTTCATCTATCTATCTGCATTGCCTCTCTCTCACTTTCACTTTCACTGTCTCTCTCTCTCTCTCTCCCGCTCTCTCTCACCCCTGCCTCACTTATTCTCTTGCTCTCTAGTGTAATTAAAGACAGTCAGTGCATATAATAGAACCATAATTGTGCGTAATTGCAATAATCAATACACAGTGCGAACTAAGCATCTGGCCATTTATCAATATACAGAGAGGAGGCAGGATTTCTCACAAAGCTAACACATACTTAACCCTCATTAATTTGCGTAATTTTATGCTTAATGGTCATTCTGTGTTGTTCTTAAAGTGGCAAACTAACTTTTACTTGATCAATTGTGTTATAGCTACTGCATATTATATTCTTAGTGGTTTAAGTTGTTGTTTTGATTAAGGAGAGTGTCCTCAGTTTGGGGAAGTAGCTAAGAAGTGTTTCTGGGATGGGAAAAGAGAAGCTTTATCAGTAGGAATTGCTGCATCATGAAGGTTATGCTAAATCAGCAGAGAGATTTGGACATAATGGAACACTATAGTAAGCTAAATAAGTGCAAGTAGGAAAGTATGTTTTGTTTGTTTTTCTGAGTAAAAGAAATAGTGATAATAGCATGTTCACAGCGTTTATAGCTCATTTCTGTATTTGTAAAAAACTAAAGGGGTAGTAAGCATCCGTATTTCTCCATCACATCCCACATTTGGCTTGGTTTGCACCCCTCAGGCTGTGGCTCAGATGAAGGGAGATGTCAGCAGGTGGACATGCTCAGACGTGTTCCCTCACTGGAACAATACTGCTCCCCCAGGATGGGCTGAGGTCACCTGGGAGCTGGAGAATGGCCGCCTCAGGGGCGCAGAGCTACAGCTCTTAGTGGGAAACTGAGATTGCTGGACTGTCTGTGAAAGTTTCTTGGTAAGGTTGGATTACACCGCCTGTCAATCGGGAGAAAGTGTGAATATGAGCAGCGATTTTATCTTTCCTTTCATTTTTAAAGGTTTTGACCTTTGCTTTGTTGCTAACCCTCTATAAGGTGATGACAGCAGTTTTTCATAAATCTTTTTATCCCCCCCCCCATTTGTTCTACCCTATCATATCTCAAGCTTTCTTGCCCTGTTCCTATCCTCCTCCTACTCCATATGTTTCTCTC